TTAAAAAAAGCTCACTCTACACCTCATTTTTACATTCTGAGAAGGATATTTCGAAATGTTTAAGGGTCAGGATGAGGCTTAGTGTATATAATGAAATTCTCCAATTTCACCTTGTTATTATAGTGTGTTCGTTTTAGTTTGTTTGTTTCCCATGCACACTGGGGCCAACCTGTCTCTTGTCTGACTTCAAATATGTTTAAGACTTTGGAACGGTCAAACAATCATACCCTAAGTTTGTAATAACACAAACAAATGGTTTACTTTGATATTTTGGATAATTTCTGAACATATAACATTAAAAAAAAAGTTTCAGTAAACTCAAGAAATCCGATGTCTCACATGCGGAGCCAAGATCATCATATCATCTTAGAAGGGTAAGCCATTTGTACATTGTTTAATACATGTTAAAGATTTCATGTGTGATCTAGTAATCCATGCGCTAACCTTTTGGGAAACTATAATCACAATAATTTGAAGCTTATCAGTGTAGTTTCACGTGTTATATTAGTAAGTGCGGAGATGTGAAAAAAAAACTCATCAATTTTGGACTGCAACACATGAAATTTGAGATGCTGCTTTTAGAGAAAACCACAAAAATTTCCACAAGAGCATTTTCCATTGACAAATTTGTGAAGCCGCTTACTATCTCTAAGGATGATTTCCCTACCACTCAGTGTTGAGACATACTTAATAAAATTATGGCTATCCCTGCATAATAAAGTGCTCTTGACAACTCTTACTGGAGAAGAACTTGGCAAGTTCTCCAACCCATATGTAATGGCCAACTTCTCACTGTGATAAAAAGTAGGGGAGGATGTCTTTTCCCCTTCCTCTTCATCAAGTTTTTCCACACTTTCTAGCATCTCGTAGCCAAGACTCTTTGCTTTGGCAAGTAAATCTTCCAATGATTTACATATTACTGAACTCTCTGGGTGTGTTTTGTCAGTGGTTTCAAACGAATATACTTTGTTTTTAATACTAATCCAGCTCCAATCCTTCAATTTTCCAACAGTCTCCTCTTTCATCATCTTCCTCACCCTTGAAACATCCTCAGAACGCCCAGCTGAGTGGTACATATTCAACAACAATACATATGTCTCTGTATCTTTTGGTTTGAGACTTAGTAACTGTTCAGCAGCATAAAACCCCAATTCCAGATTCCCATGGCTTCTACAACCAGCAATGAAGATTGACCAAATAGACTCACTAGGCGCACAATTCATTTTCTTAATGCAATTCAGAGCTTGCTCCAGCCTACCTAACCTCACAAACATATCAACCATGATCTCATAGTGGTCCATAACAGGTGTAATTTTATATCTCTTTTGCATGATCTCAAAGTAGTTGAGTGCTTGATTGAGCATTCCAGCATGGCTGCATGCTGCTAAAACACCCACAAAAGTAACCGCATTTGGTTTAACTCTTGTGAGCCTCATATCCCCAAAAAGACGCAATGCTTGTTGTGAGATACCATGCTGTGAAAAACCTGTAATCATAGAAGTCCATAATATCATAGTTCTAGTAGACATCTCTAGAAATGCTTTGCTGGCCCTCTCAATGCTACCACACTTATTGTACATGTTAACCAGTGAAGTACCTACAATCACATCTGACAAGAACCCAGCTTTCATAATCTGCGCATGAATTTGTTCCCCTTGCTCTAAAGCCATAATTCTACTACAAATAGTCAAGACGCTGGAGAAGGTATACAGATCAGGTTTAATGCCCGACCGATTCAACTTGGAGAAAAATTTCAGTGCTTCACTTCCATATTCGAATGAAGAAAGATTATCCTTTGTGAGTTCCATCATCTGTGCATATCCGGCAATCATTGCATTCCATGTAACCAAACTGACATCATCCATTCCATTAAACAACCTCTGAGCCTCACCAATGCAACCATTTTTTATGTACAAATACAACAAAGAATTCCTAACATGTAGGTTTGATTCATATCCAAATTTAATACACAACGTACGAACCTGTGTCCCAAATTCTAGAGACTGAATTCCACAACACTGGCTCAAGACACTGGTTACAGTGAACTCATTAGGCTCTATGTTCTCAGAAATCATCTCAAGAAAGAGTTTTAACCCCTTAACAGCTGCACCATTGTCCCCACAAGCAGAAACAGCTGAAGTCCATGAAACTACATTCTTTTGCCTTATTCTCCTGAATGCTTTCAGAGCATAATCCAACCTGCCACATTTGGAGTATAAACTACAAAGCGCATTGCCAACATTGGTGTCAAACTCAACATGATATTTGATTATGTAAGCATGGAATTGATCTCCTAACTTAAGAGAGTACAAAGAAGCACAAGCATTTAGAACAACAGCAAGAGTGTAAGCAGAAGGGTAACTTCCTGCATGCAACATCTCTTGAAAAGCAAGAATGCCATGCTTGGGTAGCGAGTTCTGAGCATAACCCGCTATTAACGTGGTCCATGCAACCACGTTTCTTCTAGGCAAGTTGTCAAACACCTTGCGAGCGTCATCCATGTTCCCACATTTGACATAAACGTCGACCAAAATTGACATGACATAAACGTCTTCATGAGCACCCGTTTTCATGGCATGACCATGAACAATTTGTGTGTCTGAGTAGGAGCATTCGTCTTTGCATTGTTGCAACAAGGGAAAGTAGAAGGATTGTTCCACCTCTTCTGTTCCCTCTCTGGTCAATGAAAGTTCTTCCCGAAAATCCAAATTGGTGAATCTTTGGCTTTTCTGGAAAGAAATGCTTTGACCCTGAAATTAGCATTTCTAGTGAGTATTCTTTTATCTGAACACTTGTTATGCATTTAGAAGGTTTAAAATGATGTCAAAAAATTTCAGCACAGATTTATCTCTAACCAAATTAATGAGTGAAAGAGCTACACAATTGAACAACAACATTAACATACTTTCAAATAAAATTCATCACTTGCTAAGATTCAAAATTAAAAAAATGATGTAATCTAAATAATAATACTAGCGTACCAGTAAAAATTTTGCTAGAAGTAACAATAAGTACTTAAATTCAGAGACTAAAACGACAATCTAACAGTACTACGTTATGTACTTGGAGACTACAAAGTGGTCTATCTGAATTTAGTAACAGAGAAGTGAAGTACATGATCGGAATAAGTAACAGAAAGAGAGAGTACCTTCTCTGTTGGATAAGAGCTTGGAGAGTATTTTCTGGAGTGTTCGTGGAGCTTGAGAGTTGCAGTGACTGCAGTTGAAGAGAAAGAAGCCATGCCAAGATTCAATCTATGAATCTATGACTCAATCTATGAGTGTGAAAGAAAGATTTGTTGCATGATTGTTTTGTGTTGAGTTGGTTTGTTTGGTCGGATAAAAATTGTGGGAAAGGATATATCCCATGCCAACCACTCGATGAGAATAGGAACTTAAGTAGGCTATTTGAACTTCCATTCTATTTTTGCTCGGGTTTTTATTTCTTTTGAGTTTGCTTTTTATTTCATATATTCTTCCTTTAATCAGAACTGGTTACACTCTGATGGTGATATTTGAGGGGCAAGATTTTAATGGGTTGCGTTTTAAGAACCATAAATGAAAATATTAAATTTTAAGATTTAAATGTTGAATTCAATATAATTATAGGAATTATTTCAACCGTCAATTTGAGAACTTTATTTTAAACTTAATTAAAATATATCTGTAAATTTTTTGCTATTATCTTATAAAGAGATAAGTATTTTTTTTGTGTTACTTTTAATTAGATAGTTTTATCTTCTATTAAATTAAAATAATTAAATTTTCTAGTAAATACATAATCTTCTATTTTTTTACTAATTGTATAATATCTGGAATAAAAATAACAGCGTCAATAATTTTATAACTTTTTAGTGTCTATTCTTACAAAACTATTTTTTTATATTTTTAAAGTACGTATTATTTTAGTATAATAGAAATGTAGACACATAAATCACATTAAACGTATAGTTTTCACCAGTTTATAATAGACTTTTTTCATTTTACTTGAGATTAACAAGAGAGAAAATATAAAATTGGATTCTTGTGATATTTTATTTATATTGTTTGTGGAGGTTTCTATTTTTTATTTTGAATCTCAAATCAATTCCTATATTTTCTAATTCAGTTTTTAATTTTGAAAAATTGAAGCAATAAAATTTTTGTTGATAAATTAATTAAGCAACGTTACAAACATTGAGGTGGCATGTTAATATAAGTTTTTATAAATGATGTGACATTCTGAGATGAATTTTTTTAAATGACATGGCATATTGAACAATTTAGTAATATATAATTTCATTTTGTAATAAGGCAATTATTTTTGTTATTTTATAATTAGTTTTCTTTTCTGATAAGTCTTGTATACGTTCTATATATAAAAATTGCATCACTAGTAATAAAGAGACTTCATACTATTTTATTTGTCTTCCAATTCTTCAATAGAATTGGTGTGCCTGGTTGCAAAAAGACATATGGTGTTTTAGAAATCACGATCACAGTGAGGCTGATCAGAGTGATTGGAGCAAAGAAGAAAGTTGGTTGTCAAAGACTTGGGTTCTTGATAGAAGTATGTGTGATTGAGGAATGGCGGGAAATGATATTTCAACGGCTAATTTTCCAATACTCACAGAGAAAAATTGGAATAGATGGAGCACACAAACGAGAGTGTTGTTCAAATTTCAAGATGTGTGATGTTATTGAAGGAGATAGAAAGTTGTAGCCAGGAGGAAGGACAACAAGGCATTGTTCATTATTCATCAATGTGTTGATGATGCCCATTTTGAGAAAATACAGAATGTGATTAGTGCTAGAGAAGCCTGGAGTATATTGGTTTCATGCCATGCAAGAGGGGAAAAGATCAAGAAAGTGAAGCTCCAACCCCTTAGGAGGCAGTATGAGCTACTGCAAATGGAGGACAGTGATAAAGTTGGTGAGTATTTTAACAAAATTTTGACCATAACAAATCAAATGAAAAGGTGCGGAGAGTCTATCAATAATTTTATCATTATTGAGAAAATCATGAGAGCATTACCACAAAAGTTTGATTACATAGTGGTTGCAATAGAAGAGTTGAAAGATCTTTCCAAGATGAAGATTGAAGAGCTTCAGAGTTCTTTAGAAGCACATGAAATGAGAATGATTAATAGTAATCCCATCAAGAATGATGAACAAGCCCTGAAAGTGCATCATTCCAGAAATGACGAGAAGAAGAAGCAAAAGAAGTGGAAAAAGGAAATGTATAAAAGGAAGTTGGAAGGTTGATAAGACCAAGGATGATCATGATGACAAGTCTACATAAGTGGAGAAGAATGGAAGACTAGAGAAGAGTTACCAAAAGAAGGATAAAAGAAGTTTCGAATGCTTTAATACAAATGGATATTTCTCTTATGAGTGTTATGTTGATAAGGGAAAATAGAAGAAACATCAAGGAAAGGAAGCATATGTTGCTCAAGAAGATTCAGATTCAGAGCCACTAACCTTGATGGTAACCACTTCTGCTAAAAGTTCTAGTTCTCATGCTAACCTGTGGTACCTAGATTCTGGATGTTCAAACCATATGACATGCCATCAAGAATGGCTGATTAATTTTGATGCTACGAAGAAAAGTAAAGTGAAGATTGTCGACGATAGTACTTTGAAGGTGGAAGGAATGAGAGATGTTGTGATTCGAAGGAGAAATGGTTCCCATGTTGTAATCATTGGTGTACTACTTGTTCCAGCCATGAAGTGCAATTTATTAAGCATTGGTCAGTTGATTCAATGAAGGTTTAAAGCAATGATGGGAGATAACAGAGTCGAGCTATTTGATGTTAACAAGAACCCAATATTGAGAAGCAAGATTTCCAAGAACAGAACATTCCAGATCAATATGGAAGAAGTGGAGAGTTATGAGTCTATGGCTAATAACAATTGAAAAACTGTTATTTTTATACTTAATTTTGACCTTAAAGACAACCTTTATGACTTAGAAATTAGCTTGGAATCATGTTTTTGATTAAGTTTTGAAATAAGAGAGTTGGATAGGTTTTATGCTTGGTTTTTCTTGTTTTTGCAGGTTTTAAGATGAATTGAATGAAAGAAGTGAAGTAGCCAAGAGTTGAATTCAGAAAAGGAAGAAAAAGTGCATAAAAGAAGAGCCGCAAGTACCGTTCAGCGTCACTTTTATCGTTGAGCGGCACTCTGAAGTCCCGTAGTCACTGCTGAGGGGCAAAACTGTAGCTGAGCGTCAAATAGAAGAATCGCACTTACCGTTGAGCGTCATTTTATTGGGCCTTGGGCCACTTTTCTGTAATTTTTAGGAAGCTATATAAGGTTTTAGCCGAATTAGGGTTAGTATCTTTGGACAGAACGAGGCCAAATCAAACTTTCTTCACGCCTTGAAGGAGGATTTTGGATGCTCAAGCTCTATTCTTCAACTTCTAGGGTTCTATCTTTTATTCTTTCATTGTTTTTCATTTAGTTTCACCATGATTATGCTGAACTAAACCTTCATTATTGTTGGGGAATTAATGTAGTCCTTTGAAACTCTCATGTATTGGATTGGTTCTTTAATTCGTATGTTTTTTATCATTAATTATTAGGGTTTTTCTTCTATACTTTATGCATGCTTTGTTTAACTCATTCAATTGCATGATCATTGATGTTATTTGTATGGACACATATGAGCAAATCTAGAACTCAAGAAATTGTCCCAAGAGTAATATTGCTTAGACATAGGTATAGGAGGATTGGTTGCCTTTAAGCTTTTGTGCAAATGTAATGCATGAATAATTGCTAGGGAGACAAGACATTGTAAACTAGTGATTAGGAGTAGGCTTTCTTCACTGAGACATCGAGTTTAAGGTAAATTAGAAAGTGGCATTAACATTAATGAAGAAAGATGAATTCTTGAATACATGAGAGTGGATAGGCTGAATCAGAAACCCCAACAACATAATCATTCATATTATACATCAATCTTTTTTGCATCTTTCAAGTCCATTGATCAAAACCTTGCATTCATGTATATTTTTCATAATTCAACAACAATATTTTCAGTTACAAGTCTAAGATAATCAACAAATCACATAACTGTTTAGGCCGTGAGTCCTTTGGGAAACGATACTTGATCTTACCATTTATTATTACTTGATACGATTCGGTACACTTGCCGAGGGTTAACAAGTTTTTGGCGTCATTATCAGGGACTCATGGTTTAACTATTCTATTTGTGTGATTATTGATTAGCTTTGACTTGATTTTTTTTTATCTTTTTATCTTTTTGTTTTATCTTTTTAGCTTTTTATCTTTTTATCTTTTTATTTTCTATCTATCTTGTTATCTTTTTAGTTTATCTTTTGTATCTTTTTGTGCTAACAATTGTTTCTAGGGTTTTGTGTTCTTGTGTATGCAGGATACAATTCGGACTAGGACCAAGAAAACTTCGGAACCTCTTCTTGAAGGATTGAACGAAAGTAGAAGGAGGAGGAGAATTCGAACTTCTAGAGAACTATTTCCTTCTCCGGAAACACTTCTACAACCCTCACCACAAAGATCTAACCAGAGCACTGAAGAGATGGCAGAGGAGAACAATGGTATACGTACTTTGGCGGATTACACCAATGATGTTGGCCCTCATCACTTTAATAGCATTGCTAGGTCGAGGGTGAATGCTGCAAACATGGAGGTGAAACCGGCATTGATACAATTGGTAAAGAGCTACCAATTTAATGGGCTATCACATGAAAGTCCATATGAACATCTAACCACATTCAACGAGATTTGCAACACTGTGAAGATCAATGGTGTGTCGGATGATGCAATAAAGCTTAGTTTGTTTCCTTTCTCATTGGGAGGCAATGCTAAATTATGGTTGAATTCTTTTCCGGAGGAAAGCTTTACTGAATGGGAAGTCGTGGTTTCAAAGTTTCTAAACAAATACTTCCCACAATCTAAAATCAACAAAGGGAAGCAAGAGATTTCTTCTTTTAGACAAGGCATGGAGGAGACGCTAGGTCAAGCATGGGATAGATACAAGAGCTTGTTGAGAAAGACACCTAGTCATGGTTTTGACGAAGCGACAATAGTCATTCTTTTCCTTGGAGGTCTTGGTTCACAAACCAAGTTGATGCTAGATGCCTCAGATGGAGGTAATATTAAATGCAAGACTCCAGACGAAGCCACTAAATTGATTGATAACATGGCTACTAATGACAATGAGATGCATAATGAGAGAGGAGCTCCATTTCAACAGAAGGGAGTTCTACAATTGCAATCAAATGATTCCTTGCTTGCCTAGAACAAAATTATAACTCAACAGTTGGAGAATTTGACAAAGACACTTGCTCAGTTGCCAAAGGAGCTAAAGAATGTTACACAGGTTCAACAACAACTTTGTGAACTGTGTGGTGGTGACCACATCAATGGTCAATGCACTTTTCCAGTGGAGGCTTTAGAAGATGTCAATTTTATGGCAAATCAATTTTCATACCGCCAAGGAAACTACAACCAAGGGTGGAAATCTCACCCAAGCATGGGTCAAGGTCAGAATGGACAAGTTGGACAAGAAGGACAATTCAATAGACCACAGCAGGAACCATCAATATGGCAACAAGTATCTGCATTAAATGAGAAATCATCAAAGCTTGAAGAAACTCTTCAACAATTTATTCAGGTGACTATCTCCAACCATAAAAGCATTGAAGCTGCAATTAGAAATTTGGAGATATAGGTTGGTCAAATGGCTAAGAAGCTGGAGGATATGCCTGACAAATGTTTTGGGGCTAATACTGAGGTTAACCCTAAGGAAGAGTGTAAAGTTATTGTAAGTGTAGATGATGAGAGGGTGGATGAGAGAAAAGAGAGAGTTGAGAGAAAAGAAGAGATAATAGCTGAGGATGAGAGAAAAGAGAAAGACAAGAAGGAGAGAAAAAAAATTGAGAAAAATGATAAAATTCTTCCTTACCCTAAGGGGAGTGAAAAGATTGAAAAAAAGAGACAATATAGGCACTTTAAAGACATCTTTAGGCAATTGGAGATTACTATACCTTTGAATGAAGCATTGCAACAAATTCCATCTTATGCAAAGCACATGAAGCAAGTCTCCATAAAGAAGAGATATCTAGATGAAAAGGGAGATTGTAGTGTTATGAGAAGAAGCCACTTCCTCCAAAAGTGAAAGATCCAGGAAGTTTTACTATTCCTTGCGTCATTGGGAAGGAGAATATAAGGAAAGCCCTAATTGATTTAGGGTCAAGCATTAATTTGATGCCTTTATCTCTGCTTGAAAGGATTGGTGATCTTGAAGTCAAGCCAACAAAGGTGACTTTGCTAATGGCAAATGGATCTTCAAAGAAACCATATGGTGTGGCGGAAGATGTGGTGGTTTGCATAGAAAAACTAAAATTCTTGATAGACTTTATGGTGATGGAGATGAAGGAGGATGAGAAGGTCTCAATCATTCTTGGAAGACCGTTTATGAAAATGGCAAAGGTAATCATCAATGTGGATGATGGGATGATAGTGCTTCAAGACCGAGGAGAAAAGGTGATCTTTAATGTCTTCAAAGGGGAGTAGTAGATTCAAGAGAAGGAGGCTAGTCATAAAGTTGTATGTAAGGATGCACCCTTGACTAGTTCAAAAGCTGCAAAGCCGGTCTTCAAAGGTAAAAATTGTTTCTTGTCATAGGTTAGGGAAGAAGAAAAAGATGGCAAAGGAAGGAAGATTCATGATGACTTGATCCAGGAACAACTCAAACTTGGTACACTAGTAAGATTCAAGAACAAGTTGTGGGTTGTGAAAGACTATAAAGAGAATGGAGTGATAGAAATTGAAGCTCCATATTCAAGACGAGTCAAGAAGGTGGACTAAAAGCGATTGATGAGTTGGTGTGATGAAAGCAAGGAGAACTCCAACACTAAAGATGGAACTTGAGCTTTATTGGGTCAAGCTAATGACGTTAAAAAACACCTTTTTGTTGAGCCCTTTCATTCTGCACTTCATTGTCATTAGCAGCCATGTTCTCAATTAGCTCATGGGCTTCCTCCGGTGTCTTCCATCGGATGTTTCCTCTAGCTGAGGCATCCAACATCAACTTGGTTTGGGATCTCAAGCCACCCAAAAACATATTCAGGACAGTAGGCTCATCAAACCCATGAGTGGGTGTCTTTCTCAATAACCCCTTGAACCTATCCCAAGCTTGGCTAAAAGTCTCACTAACATCTTGCTAAAAAGATGAGATTTCCTGTCTCCCTTTGTTGACTTTGGGCTGTGGGAAATATTTGTTGAGGAATTTGGCCACCACATCCTCCCATGTAGTGAAACTATTTTCAGGAAAAGAATTCAGCCACACCTTGGCATTGCCTCCTAATGAAAATGGAAACAGCCTGAACCTTATAGCTTCATTCGGCACATCGTGGATCTTCATCGTATTGCATATCTAGAGGAAAGTGGCCAAATGATTATATGGATTCTCATGCGACAGGCCGTGGAACTGATTACTCTGCACCAGGTGGATGAGAACAGGCTTCATCTCCATGTTAGTAGCATTGACCCGTGGCCGAGCAATGCTATTAAAGTGAAGAGGTCCTGAGAAAGTAGAGTAGTCCTTCATGGTGCGTCTAGCTTGCCCATCACCATGATCAGTCGAATTGTCAGCCATGTCCTCCTCTTCCTGATCAGATGTAGGGATAAAGGTTGCTCAGGAATCACAGGTATGGGAGAAGTTTCTCTTGAAGCCCTATTCTCTCTTCTTCTTCTACTGTTGTTTCTTCGGGCAGTCTTCTC